GCTCGCCTCCAAATGAGGTGACACAGCTTCGAATTACAGCAAATGTCTGGCTGATACGAATTCCGCACATTGTTGGCTTAAAATGTCCTCAGTGGTAGACGAATCATGAGTTAGAGTATCCTTGCCGTCAAGCTAACCGTGGGAGGTTTCTGTGGTTTTAATCTCCGTGTAACGCAAATGCGGGTTAGTTCCAAAAAATCCTTCACGAGGACAAATTTTCCCCAATATTTGCTCCAGGAGTTCCCTTGCCTTCTGGATTGAACATTGGCTGTCGTAAATCAAAATTGGGCAAAATTGGGTCTGCTGTTCAACGACGGTTATAAATTATAAAAATATTTTAGAAATAAAACACTACCAAAATAGTTTGCCACCTCATTCCAGAAACGTTTGAGCAAGCGTCCTGTGATTAACGGGTGAAGGGGGGTTATTTTAGCCCTCGATCCTGAAAATTGTTCAAAAACTTCAATTACACTTCAATTCGAGAGAGAGGTTTGAAAATTTTTTAATTATCTTAGAAATCGCCATTGATAAAAACTGCACACGATTCAGTTTTTTTTTTAAGACATCTGGGATGTTCACTAGTTTGTAGCTCTCGGGAGTTAATTGCACGTTCTTAATAATTTATTTTTTTTATTGGTTTTGTGCGATAAACTCGATAATCAACATGAACATGGTGGATAGGCGGACTAAGATACCAAATTAGTAGTTTTAAAGCTTTCCACGAATTGTTTTTGTTTTGAGTTACGCTTTTAAAACGTGTTTCGAGAAAATTACATATTTTAAAATCAACGGTAATTGAAATAGATGTGCTGAAGGAGAATTACTACTAATTCATTTAGGAGAAACGGTAAAACTTTGCCATATAATTATGATGCTTGCAACTAAAAACAGCGTTCTTGTAGCTTTATCATTTTCAGCGTTGATTACGCCAACATAGCGTAAAGGTAAGGCATCAAAAATTAAAGCCAGTCTGCGCAGTTGCTTCAAGTCTTGCTTATACAAGCTAAAGTAAAAGTGCGAAATTTCCCTAAATAAAAAAAGACAGAATTATTTTAGCGTTAATAGTTTTGTTAGTATTTATTTGTCTTTCAGTTTTGTGAATAATATCTCTGTGTTTTTGTTAATACTAATTTTAATTTGTTTCTTATTCAATTGTTTATTTCCTGCTCTTAACATCTTCACAATAAGATTTGCATTTGTTTAAATGATTTATACGCTTTGCTGGTTAAACTCATTCCAAATGATATCTATTAAATCAAATGATAAAACTGGCACTGTAAAATTTCACGAAAAATTGCCAATTAAAACAATCTTCGTAAAATTTTAATTAGGATTTATCAGTTTGATTAGCAAATTTATGAAAATTGTTTACACTATAATTGTTCTTCTCCCCTACAGAAAATGCATTTAAATATCTGAACATTCAATTCCAGCTGTAATTTATTGATTAAATTATTTATGAATAATAAAGCATTTGTGTATTTTATAGGATTGATCATTTCAACTTTAGCAGTGAGGAAAATTGTAATGGACACTTATTTTGTTAGTTTTCATGTAACTCACAAAGATTACAGATTGCGTGGCATATCAAACCAGGTAAGATTTTCATATAATCGAAATGCATATCCCTAAATTTATTTAATACAGTACATTTTTAATTATTTTTGTACTATCGAAATAAAGAAAAAAATATTAATAGTTTACTGCTACTGCATGATTTTACCATCCTTTTTCATTAATGTTTGTTAATGAATAAAAAAGAGCTCGGTAGCAATATAATGATAACCCACATTTTCAAATTGTTTAAGAGTACGTTTTCGCGAAAACACGCATTGTTAGGAATAAAATGTTTCTGTCAATTTTTACAATTTTATGCAAAAAAATTTTTTTTTCTGAGTAATAGTTCGAGAAATACGGTTTAAGGGGAAGCAGGAGAAGTAGTATTTACTAAACATGAAATTAAAAATACAGCTGTTTCTTTATATTATAAAAAACTTAAGCATTACTCAAGTTAAATCCTTGAGATTAAACTTCAATGCAGAAATCGTTAAAATTAAAATCAAATGTCAAAATTAAATGTACTGCGAATAGTAAGATATTTGAGTGATCTTTAAGATTAAAATTTGTTAAAAACAGCGCAAGAAATGAGTAATTTAAGTAGTTCTTTTATACTTAGTATGCTTAGAAAAAACAATTTTTTTTTTTTTTAATTTTGTAGTGAGTCTTATTTGGCAATTATTAAAAAAAGTCTGACTTGAATATCTAAAAAATTTAAAATGTTTCAAGCAATTTTCTAAGCAGTTTTATTTACTCTATAAAAGAAAGCTTAAAATAATAAGGGTTTTGGGTGTTTCACAAATTTAATATGTTTTAACCAACATCGCCTTACCTTTTTTGGAAGCTCGATTTTATGTATAGTAAAGGACTTGTTCACCATCCTAACATCTTTGCATTTTTACGCGATTTTGGAATTTTAAGTTGCATATAATTGTTTCGTACTTCTTACTATTTTAGTAAATTTGCTAAGAAATTTTATTGGTTTTATACATGTGCTTCATTCATTGCCGATGTGGTGTATTTGTAGGGTGACCAGACGTCCCCGATTTCCGGGGATTGTCCCTGGCGAGGACCTCGTGTTTCCGGTCGGTTTGCGTCCCCGGTTATAAAATTGAAAAATTTTATGTAAAATATGTTATATGTAATTTTTATTTTCTCAAAAATTTTCATACAAATTAATGTAAGCATTGAAAATTAAATGTAAACTAGTTTTTAAGAACACACTATAACTTATACTACAGAAATTTTGGAACACATTACTTTAATATCTAGTTATGTTTACAATTTTACTAGGCTGTACGCCAGACATGTTTATGTAAGAAAAGAAGTTTAAAACAAGACGTAACATGAATATTAGTTGCTGCTTTTAAAACAATTAATATATTAGCTAATTTCCACTAAAAACAACAACAATTACTACATTTCCGTTTTATTTTAGAAAAATAACTAAAACATTTTATAATCAGGTAAACATTTTATAAATATCTAACCAATAAAGTATAAAACAATTTTTATGAAATTGTTATTATTATTATCACTTACGACTAATTAATTTTTATAAATTCTAATTATTCTACATTTTGAAAACCTCATAATTTGTTATCATAATAGATATTTAGAAAAATATTTTTATTTCTTTAAAATAGATGTCAATATGGCAACAGAAACAAAAAAAAAAGAAAATGCCATGATTGGAAAAACGAGTTTCCATTTATTGAACCGAATCCTGATAATTCTTCCAAAGTAAAATGTACAATGTGTGGAGCAACGTTTTCAGTTGGAAGTGGAGGACGAACAGCTATAGCAGATCACATTCTTACAATTAAACACAAGAAGCTTTGGCAACAAAAACGAAATCCGTCAAACAGTTTTTTCGTAAGCTGGAACCNTTTGTTAATTTTTAATACTCTTTATTCATGTACTGATTCACTTATTTTACACTATAATATTTTAAATCGTTAACCTTTTGACCCGGAATTTTTATTAAATAAAATTGTTTTGTATTTCTTATTATTTTATAATAATTTTAAGTCAAAATAAGTGAAAATATTATATTTAGCATTTTAATAATTTATGGTTACGAAATACAACATGAAACACCATTGTCTTTCCTGCGTTAAAAGTAAAATTTTGTGCACTTATAAAGATTTAAATTAAGAGAAACAATTATTCATGATTGAAATTACAAAACTAATTATTGATATATTTTCGAATAAGAATTATTGATACATTTTTATAAAAAAGATTTTTTCGAATAACTCTTAAATAAAAATAAAAAATGCATAAATTATTTCCTGATAATCTTAAATGAATTTTTAGTAACTATTCGAGTGTTTTTTATAATTAAAAAATACCTAAATATATTTTTGCTTATAATTAGAGAGTCAGAAAAAAAAATTATTAAAGGGAAACCAGTCTCCAATCTGCGTCAAAAGATTATTAATATGTTACCTAGTACTTTTACGACGACGATAAATGAACCAACAGCAACGAAAGCATTCTTTTAAAAAAATTTGAAAGCATTCTTTTATAAAACTTAAGTGCTACGAATATCTTTTTCGAAATATATTTAATTTTTTTAATCTTTTTTTTCTATTATTATTTTGTAAAAAATTTCTTTTAAGTGTTTTAATGTTTGAGTTTTTTAAATGTTACATAGTAAGAAAATTAAAGTTTCAAAAAAAAAAAAAAAAAAAAAAAAAGCGAATGCTATAGTTTGATTAGCATTTTCAATCGTTCAACATAAACCTCCTTTTAGATTTTATGGGTTAAGCGCTACGATTTAAAACACACTATTAATTGGAATGTATTTTAACCGCTACTTTTTCCATTTTTTTAAAAGAGTAAAGAGCTGTAAAAATTCATATTTTTTACGCCATTATTAAACAGAAGAATTTATTTATCAGTAAGCTTTAATGATATGTGAACAAACTGGATTCGGGCGAAAAAAGTGAAACTGTTTACTTCCAAAAGCTGCAACTTTTTTAAGCTCCCTTTTCTGAAAGCAATATAGAGTTGCAGAAAATTTATTTATTTAGAATGTCCTATCTATGGCTTTGCATTTACTTAAGTAATGTTTGAATAAAATTGAACATTTTCCGTCTCAGAAGGGGTTTAGTTGAACACGGAAATCACGTGTCCACTCCCTGCAATCCAGCGTGGAAGCTCGCAAAACAAAACAAACCATGGTTAAGTGCTAATATCAAAACTGTGTCGTTTCCTTCTCAGAGTAAAAACAAAATCAGAAAATTAACTCTGACAATTTTTGTTACACCCGATATTTGTCGAGATAATAATTGCAAGTTATACGGATCCCAGGTAAGCAAGGAAATGGTTAAGTAATGCTACAAATTACTGAAGATTATCTTCATCATTTTTTTAAAAATACCGTTAGGAACAAATAAAATATAAAACTGTCTGTGAATATTAATATTTATTTTTAGATACATTTCCGATCAACCAGATCGCAATGTTCCCCGATACAGCCTGCGTTACATGTGCGAACAAGACATTCCCCAAGTAGCAGAGTTGAGAAGAGTAAACCACTTTGATGATGCAACCTCATCCTACTCACACCTCCTGAAAATTGATCCTAAGTGCTTTGTGGTAGCAGAAGCTGAAAATGGTAAATTCTCACGTGTTTAACTGAAATTGGTCCAAAGTGCTTTGTGAAAGCATAATATGAAAATGATTAATTATGATGGGTGCTATGGGGAGTAATTGTAATAACTATGGGTTTAATTTATTAACTCAATTCAAAGTGCTAAACGATAGAAGACGGAAATGGTAAACTACAATGGGTTAGATTGAAAATAATTTCAAAGAGCTATATGGAGAAAAATAATTTCAAAGAACTTTCAAACACATATTGTCGGAATTTTCATCATTTCATTTCATTTACGTCAATTGTTCAAATTAAGTAATGGTGAGTCTTGAAAATTGATTGATTATTTCTACGGAAGCAGCCTCAAAAACAAAATTAGATTCGAAAAATTAATTTTGGAGGGTTTTTTATTTTTGCATGATTTGAAACCGACAAAACGGGTTCGATTTTATATTTTATTTCATAACTGTCGTTGAACAATCGACCCAATTTTTATATTTAATGTATACCAATGTTCAACTCCGTAGCCTTGAAATTTTGAACCCACTTCAGAAGACAAGACAACTCCTAAATCAAGTATTCAGAGAAATTTGCCTTCGTGGAGGATTTTTGTTGGAACTAGCTAGGTTTTTGCGTTACATTGAGATGAAAACCACTGAAACCTCTCATGATTAGGCTGACGGCAAGGGGTCTCTAACCCATGATCCGTCTACTACTGAGGATGTTTTACGTCAGCACTGATCGGTGCGAGCCGAATGCGTAATTTGTATCAACCAGCCATTTCTGGAATTCGAACCACCCAGTTGCTTCAATAAGAGGCGAGCACTCAATCTACAGTGGCTCTAACAGATCGAAACTATGTAAAACATTTATTATACATATTTTAGAAAAACCATGGTGGCTCAGAGGATAAAACGCTTGCCTCTAAATGAAGTGACCCAGCTTCGAATCCCAACGATATCTGGTCGATACGAATTCCTCCAACTTTGTTGACGCAAAATGTCCTCAGTGGTAGACAAATCATCGGTTTATCCTTGCCGTCAAGCTAACCGTGGGGAGTTTCTGTGGTTTTAATCTCCATGTAACGCAAATGCGGGTTAGTTCCAAAAAATCCTCCACGAAGACAAATTTTTCCCAATACTTGATCCAGGAGTTCCCTTGCCTTCTGGATTGGGTCAGCTGTTCAACGACAGTTACAAATTACAAAAATATTTTAGTAATAAAACACTACCAAAATAGTTTGCCACCTCGTTTGAGCAAGTGTCCTGTGGTTACAGGGGGGTTATTTTAGCCCTCTATCCTAAAAATTGTTCAAAAACTTCAATTACATCCTTCGAGAGAGAGGTTTGAAAAATGAATATTTTTTTATCATCTTAGAAATCGCCATTGATAAAAAAAACTGCACACGATTCTGTTTTTTCTTTTAAGACATCTGGGATGTTACTAGTAAATAGCTCTCAGGAGTTTATAGCACGTTCTTAATCATTTATTTATTCGTTTTGTGCGATAAACTCGAGAAATATTATGAACATGGTAGCATAGGCAGACTAAGTTACCGAAGTAGTAGTTTTAAAGATTTCGGCGAATTAGTTTTGTTTAGAGTTATGCTTTTAAAACGTGGTTCAATAAAACTACATTATTTAAAATCAACGATTATTGAAATAGATGTGCTGAAGGAGAATTACTACTAATTTATTTAGGAGAAAAGTAAAACTTCGCAGTATAATTATGATACTTGCAGCAAAAACAGCATGCTTGTAGCTTTGTCATTTCAGCGTTGATTACGCCAACACAACGTTAAGATACGTAACATATAAAACTAAAGCCAGCATGTGCAGTTGCTTCAAATCTTGCTTACGGAAGCTAACGTAAAAGTGCAAAATTTCCCTAAATAAAAAAGACATAATTATTTTAGCTTTAATAGTTTTGTTAGTATTTATTTTATTTGTCTTTCAGTTTTGGGAATAATATCTCTGCGCTTTTGTTATCTTCACAACAAGATTTGCATTTGTTTAAATTATTTATGTGTTTTGCTGGTTGAAATCATTCCAAATAAAATCTATTAAATCAAATGATAAATCTAGCACTTATAAATTTCAAGAAAAGTAGCCAATTAAAACAATGTTCGTAGTTATTGAGTTTGCTAAAATTGTAAATTAGGATTTATCAGTTTCAATAGCAAATTTATGAAAATTGTTTACACTATAATTGTTCTTCTCCTCTACATAAAATGCATTAAATATTTGAACATTCAACTCCTGCTGTGATTTATTGATTAAATTATTTATGATTAATAAAGTATTTGTGTATTTTATAGGATTGATCATTGCGACTGGAGCATTGAGGAAAATTGTAATGGACACTTATTTCTTTAGTTTTCATGTAACTCACAAAGATTACCGATTCCGTGGCATGGCGAACCACGTAAGATTTTCATATAATCGAAATGCACATCCTTAAATTTATTAAATATAGTACATTTTAAATTCTGTTTTTATTATCGAAATAAACAAAAAAATATTAATAGTTTACTGCTACTGTATGATTTTACCATCCTTTTCATTAATCTCAGTTAATGAATAAAAAGAGCTCGGTAGCAATATAATGATCAGCCACATTTTCAAATTGTTTAGGAGTACGTTTTCGCTAAAACACGCATTCCAAGAAATAAAATGTTTCTGTCAAATGTTACAATTTTATTGCAAAATGTTATTTTTTCTCTTTTTCTGAATAATAGTTCTAGAAATATGTTTTAAGGGGACGCAGGAGAAGTAGCTTTTCATGATGGCTGTGGTATTTAATTTTATTAAATATAAAATGAAATATACAGCTGTGTCTTTATATTATAAAAAACTTTACTATATATAAAAAGCATTACTCAAATAACTAAATCCTTGAGATAAAATTTCAATGTAGAAATCGTCAAAATTTAAGTTAGAATTAAATGTACTTTGAATAATAAGATATTAGAGTGATTTTCAGGAATAAAATTTGAGAAAAAATTGTTAAAAACTGCTCAAGATATGAGTAATTTAAGTAGTTCTTTTATACTTCGCATGGACGGGAAAAACTTTAAAAAGAAGTTTCTTAATTTTGTAGTGAATCTTATTTGGTCCGGAAAAAAGTCCGATTTGAATATCTAAAAAATTTCAAACAATTTCCTAAGTGGTTTTATTTATTCCATAGAAGAAAGCTTAAAATGATAAGGGATGTGTCTTCCACAAATTTAATTTTGCACCATTAAACAAGATTTATTAAAAGTGACATCTGCAAAGTTGGGAATCATCTTCCAGAAAACTAACTTCATCAAACTTTGTTGTACGGACCATTTTTAGAAGGGTATTATCATTGTTTAATAAATCTTTTATAAAACAATTAAATTTGTTACATTATTTACAGACATATTTACGATATCACTAATGGCGATGCTAATACTACACCACGGTAACATTGATAACAACAGAGGTACCGAACTACTAGAGTTCATCATTCTAACAGACCTAAATATTGCCAATGATTCATGCTCTTTTCCAAAATATAACTCAATAACAGGTAAGAGTTGGAAAGACATTATTATCTACAGCGGATATATTTATTCAGAACTTATAGGTAGAGGACTGAGAAACGCTCAGTGGCCACAGACCATAGAGCTAATCTTGGACGAATTTAATACTGTTAATTATGCAGATATTAACTCGTTCCACTTCTCGGTGAAATTTAAAACGGATATTAGACAAAGTGAAGAAAAGATTAATCAGATAAACAACGCAGAAAAATTAGACAAATACATTTAAGATCTTACGGAAACTATTATTTACATCTGCAATTATTCGATACTAAAAATTGGGAAAATATTCAAGCAAAGCCTAATAAGATCGAGAGATCTAATGAGGTAGTTATTAGATCTCTCGATCTTCAGGAAAAGGCTTAGAGCATAGTGCAGAAAATTCCAAAAAGAAACAGATCTAATTCCATGAACTTTAATATCTGCATAATTAATTCCATTAGATTTAACTGTATTAAATTCGTCCAAGATCAGCTCTATGGTCACTGAGTGTTTCTCGATCTTCTACCTATCAGTTCTGCAAGATAAGTCAGCTCAGTACTGTAGCATCAGTTCTGTAGATAAAGTCTTTCCAACTGTTACCAGTTATTGCTCAAATCTAGCTAAAGAGCATGGATCATTGGCGATATTTAGGTCTGTAAGAATGATGAACTCTAGTAGTTTAGTACCTCTGTCGTCATCAATGTTACCGTAATGTAGCATTAAAACCGCCTTTAATGATATGGTGAATTTGTCTGTAAATAATGTTGTATGTCGTTTAAAATCAGTGAAAGTTCGGCGGAAGGTGGTACATAGGTAGGAGCAAAATATAATTTTCTTTGACGATAATTTGCTTCCGCAAGTCTCGTCCAATAGTCACGGGAAAAATATCAATCAAATTTCTCTTAAAAATAATTACGTATCGTCGTTTATTCCTACCTGTTATAATTTATAGTTCATGTCGAAAACGAGTAATAAAATTGTCTTTGTTGCAATAAGATTCATTAATTATTCCAACAATGATACTAAGAAGAATAAAGTCAACTGCGTGTTGTAAATTAGCATTCAACATTCAGTGTGGTAAGCATTCAGTGTGGTAATTTAAAAATAGTTGGAACAAAAAGTTTAAAGTATACTAACCCCAACTTTATTAAGCGTTAATTGATGATTTGGCTGGTTAGATTCATGGTAAAAATCATATAAAAAAGGTGATAAAATACCCAAAAAGGTACTCAATTTCTGGCAATAAAACTTTAATTAAAATTCCGTTTCGTTTCGCTTTTAAATTGTTTCATAGCTCTTGTGAATTATTTTGTATTGAAATAAAACATTCACTGTAGGAATTTAAAAACCAACTTTCGCCTTCTACAATTGAATTTCAAGGGCGCCCACCAAATGTTTTGTAGCGTGAAAATAGCGAGAATGGAAGGAGATAGCGGATTCTAATCTCGCGCAATCCTGGATGTGTCTTCATGCTATCTGTCTTTCTCTTTGACAAAGGCTTATAAGCCGTACTTACGTAATTGAGCACACAAGCCTGTATATGTGTGTGCGTAGTAATAAATAAATATTGTTTTTCTAAGTCATTCAATTTACTTTTTTTTATTTTTTAGATTATCAAACATTTATTTGATAGCCGTAGAAATTGCAACATTCTTGGTGCAACAGAAATTGGAATGTTGAGAAGGAATCTAAATTTTCCACATGATCCATATTTCATACAAAATGATTTTGTTAACATAGAATATGAATATGATACAGTCATTGACCACAACTTGCTTTCTTCAGAACTTCCCCAAGGTGTGTTCCTAGACGAGTATCAAGATTCGTTTTTAGGAGCCATCTTGGATTATGACTGCTCAGTGGTGGACTACAAACGAGAACAACTGGTTACGTTAAACTGTCAAGACAAAGACAGCAGGACATTTGTCGCCACGAAAGGAGGCTTTTGTGTTGGGTACGGGACCATTAAACCAACTATTCAAGGTTATGGAAAAATCGGGCCATTGTATGCAGAAAATCCCGCTATAGCTGAAGCTGTTTTAAAGAATTTACTTGTGTCTTTCAATGTGAAAGAAGGCTTAGGAGCGCAAACATTAAGCAATAATGTTAACGCCAATTTGATTTTCGGAACCTTTGAAACAAAGCGAAAAAATGTTATATTAAGTTATAGGTTATATTCTAAAGAGTTATTGATGAGTGAAACTAAAAAAATTTACGCGGTATTTGAGGGGGAGTGTGAACCATTCTAAAAATTTGGTCATTATTCTGTAACCGATTCTACTCTTTTTGGATGACATTTACAACTTTGATAAATTTGAGATATTAAGGGTGAGCGGTACCCAAAATTTTCTTTCTTGGTGAAAAGGCGAAAAAAGAAAGTCATTTATGTGTATTTAATGGATATTGATTTATTAAAAAATATTTTCAACAAAAAATTATAAACAAATATTCAATGAAATCTTTCAATTTTTGAAAATAAATTTAAAATTTTCACAATGCTATTAACTTTTTAATTTACCAGCTTTGATTTACCAGCTATCATTGGCATGTTGAGACAAAAGCGAACAAAATTGGGTATGTAATTTTTCTATTCAATTATGAGTTCCGTAAAGTTTATACGAGGATTGTGACCATTGCCAGTCTTATTTTTGTCACAAATGAAATAAAATAATACTTCTGAAATAATAATCTTATTATTTTATAAATAAATACTATTACTTTAATCCAATTGTTATAAAAAGAAGACTAACGCTATAGGAAATATAACTGGACGACAGATTGTTAATAGGTAGGATTTAACTTTCTTATTAAACGTCTGCCGAGTTACCTATCCTGTATCTGACGTTACCTTCAAAACCTCAGCTGCAGTTGAGATTAGTGTGTGAGTTCGCAAAGTGCAGAGAGATCGATGTTGACGTCGCTTGAAATTTCTGTTTACTAAAGAGTTAACCGTAGATTGTTGTTTTTGTGTTGATTAGAAATAAAATGAGGATAAGTAGAAGAAGCTATGTACATCATCCTGATGTACATACAGGTATCCTCAATCTTGGTGGATCATTCAGTAAACGTAGCACTCAGGCTTTTTCGCTGCGTCTTAGGTCAAATTTTTTGGTTGCTTCATCATCAGCCATTTTTATCCTTTTATTTTATAAAGTTCACGGACGCCACGACATAAGATTATGGATTTCAAAAAATATCCAATATAGAAATCAAAAGAGCAGGATAAAGAATAATTAGGCTGGTAAACAAATTCACAATTTTCTGTCAACTTTATTCAAAATTGTTAACAAAGGAGANTCAACAATCATCGGAGATAAAATCCTATTTTCCTTTATCTTCGCACCATCGCGTATTCCTTAAATATTTGATTTCGCGTTTTGTTATATATCGTGTTTTAAAAAAATAGGAATTTGAAAAATCATGTAGAAATCTATAGAAATAACTGCGGAATTGAAATTAAAAACTTTCAAATTTATGTTAAAATCGATGTAAAATCGGAACAACGTGATCGAAATAAGAAAGGGGATTACTCCTATGCGCGACTCAAGATTAATGAATTAATAGTTTCGTTATAAAAATCAGTTAGAAATCAATGGGTATAACTGCCAAAAAAGTTAAAGAAATTATTCAAATGTGTAATTCGAAATTAACCTGTCGTGATAACAACTTATTGAAAATAATCGGGATATCAGTACCCGAATTCCTTCAACAATTGTTAAAAAACTACATGGATTTACCATAAAATCAGTGCTTAAAAATGGAAAAAAGAAAAGTTTCCTTCGAAATTTTTCAGGACCCGTGGACCCTGAAGTATTCATGAAGTTGCATCTCAATTTATAAATTTGTGTAAAATTAATAAATAAATAAATACCACTGCAGTGAATTTTATTACAAGTTGTTGTCATTCCCTGGGAAGGATAGCTACGAAGTCTTTTTCTTTTTATGCCGCCAGATGGCGTTCTTTTTAAATTTGTATGTGTTTGTTTGCTTTTTGTTAATAAACTTTTACTTTCTGTCTGAATCCGGATCCACGGACTACAGTTGGTAGCAGAGCGTGGTTTTGAAAATTATGGCAGTAAAAAGTTTCACTAAGTTTATCTGTGATTTACATCGTTTAGATCCAAAAATGAATCGGGATCTGTCATATATCCCACTGCTGAACAGCGACAACTGCTATCAATGGAGTATTAAGGTCAAGGATTTGCTGACACTTAAGAAAATTGCAAATGTGCTAACTGAAGAAGATCCAAAATTGCGGGAACAATGGTCACTAAGCAATGATGACGCAGCATACAACTGTTGCTTTCTGACGACCAAAGTCTTCAGTTCGCAAACGAAACTAATGCTAAAATTCTATGGGAAAAAATTCAAAGCACATTTACTGGTAAAACCGAAGATCGAAAAATCGATGCAAGTAACGAAATAAAAAAATCTTGAAATGAAAGAAAATGTTTCGGACTATATTGTAAGATCACGTGGACTTCAGACGAAATGTTCATCACTGGGACTGCAAATTACAGAAAGAGAACTGGTTTACTATACTGTTAGAGGTTTACGAGGAAAATTTTCAAAAATAAGCGAAATTCTGAAAACCCAAAGCAAAAAACAAATGGATGAAATTTTGGAAATATTGCGAGAAGAAGAAAACAGCGTATCAAAATTAAGAAATGATATTCCTAGACGAACAGAAGCATTCGGAGTAAAACATAAATATGATAATAGAAGCACGAAGAAATATTTCATCTGCCATAAAACGAATCACCTAGCTAAAGACTGCTAGATTGAATCTAATGGTAATCATATTTTGATTTTAAGTAATGACAATCGCATTGTTTTAAAAGCTGTAAAAGTAAACAATCGCTTTGAAATTTTAATGGAATCATTTAATAACACTTCACCTAAATTTTTTTATTATAAGTAAGTAATTTGGTTGCTTATAATAACTGGCATAAAAGACTTTGTCATTTAAATCCACAATACATGGTTAAAATGCAAAATGTCCTTGGCATAAATTTTAACATAAACAATTATTCTAAAGGAATTTATTTTGGAATCTAATTAAAGCACCTAATCACACATAAATATTGTATATAATGTGAAAAATAATTATTTAGAAAATAAAAAAACTTTTAATAAGCAAAAAGTGCAGCTCGAGAATTTGGCTGCACGACGATTAACATAATCTGAAAAATAAACAATGATAATATCATTGGAATTTATGGTATTGTAAGTATGATCACTTACATTTTCTAGGAATGATGGCACTTCAAGACTGTTTTCGATTATTTTGTCTCAGTTCCATCTTTCTGTCACTAACAATGTTGCTGATATCACAGTCCAAAACTATTTTTAACATGTCATCTGATCCATCTAGTCATTAGCCCCTTTTAGCCTTTTAATGAGGGAGTAGGTCCCAACAAGGCGGCAGATTTGAAAAAAATACAGCAGAATTAGGGTGATTATTACTCCCCGCAAGCATTTCTCATAATACTGAAGAATATCTGAAAAAAGTGAATAGATATGTATTATTATGTAAAAATTAATAAATATGAATACTATTTTACATAAGTTACATTTACATACCCCTCATATTGCGACTTACCGCTTATAACGACGTTTTGTGACCAGTTCCGCGAAGATTGTTAAATCGAAGTTCTAACGTAGGTTTTAACGTATGCACTGTTTTATTAATAATCACTATTTTATTCAATTTTATCTATATGCTGAACTGTTTTAAAGTCGTTTCCTTCGCGTAGCATGTCCTTTTTTGGACCTTATGCCACTAAATTCGTCATTCAATTCAACATATCATACCCCTTCAAGAAAAGTGTCATAACTCTAAAATGCAACATTTGAGAAAAATCAACTTAGAGAATACGATAACCCTTATTTTGAATTAGATTCAAAACTAACAAAACTGCCTTCAACTGGATAAATAGCGAGTTAGAGATTTGACTTAAACGACACCTTGTTATAAATAAATTGTTTATATGTTATAAAATACTTTTTATGTATATTTAGATTTATTTATGTTTTATTTCTTTGTATGAACTTACTATTAAAAGCTTTTATGGTTGTCATTATAGAGCACGTGATTCCCAGTAACCGAAATATTTCTTATATGTTTATTTTCCGGTAAATAATAAGTTACAAAAATGGTGAAATCAAAGTAAAACTAAGATAATTTAACATAATGTACAAACATAATGTATAATTTAGCAGGACGTAATTTTAAGCCAAGTTAATAAAATAAAAAATTAAACCTTTTATAAAATGAGATTTTTCACTTAACACAAGTGACGACTCCAAATATCGACGGAGAAAATGAGTTTGTTCATCGGTAATTCTATAACTGTAAATACACTTGTAATTAACTTTTATGTAAAGTTATCACAAACGGGTTGGTCGCTATGGCCTCCGGCCCCGCGCTAACCAACCAAAATCACCATAGTGATATTTTTCCTCCACTTGTTGCTGAGGGTGGCAACGGGTGACTGAGATGGGGGCCATGTGTTTTAAAATGTAACCAAGTAGTGTGTTTTTTTTTTTAGAAGGGAGATTTAAAAAACTATCTCCTATAATTGTATGATGTATAAATTGTGTTTTAACATTTTTAATAAAATCTTATAACTGAAGCTTTTAAAAAGTGTTATAAAGTTAATAAAAATTTTACGTCTCTAAAAGCAATCAGATAAGTTTCGGTTACACAGGTTAAAGTGAATTATTTTTATGATTAGAAAATAAACGGTATGATTGATGAGTTGCTGGGAATTATTGAATAAACGACATGCTGTAAATGCTATTAAATGCACACCATACTTTATTAAAGAAATAGCTTAAAAGAGCATGCTGAAGTTAAGTGTCCCTACTCTATTTGTAAAGAAGAATTTACGCAGTTCAGTATCAGCATGGCTAAGGTAAGAATTATGATTTCTTGAAAATTGTAGGAGGAATAATTATTTTTAAAGTTAATGACCATTTCTATGTTAAATAAATAATCCCAAAAAACTGAAGCGGTAAAATATTACCCGATTAAAAACTTCACTCGCTTCAAAAAAATACGTAAATAGCAAATAACAGTCAATATGTTTGTAACACGATATTTCTTCACGCCTGACAAGTCCTGACTTTTATCAAGTAATTCATTTCTATAATTATACTTGCAAAAAATATGTTTTGGGAGAAACGGATAAAGTACCCATGGTAAAGTTTGGTAACTTTTTGCGATACTTTCAAATAAAATCTTAAAATAAAATATAATTAATGAGTTCAAGCGATTAGGAACTGATTCCTGTTGCTGTTTTTTTTTAATTATTTTGTTGTGAATTTATTGAGTGTTTAAAATAGGCACTTTACTCTATCAGGTCGGATGCAGACTAATTTACACGTTCAGTGCGCAAAATTAAAAACGGAACACATTAATACTTTGTGCAACTAAAGTTTCTTTTAACGTTCTTAATGAATTTAGATTCTCTTTATATATTAAAAATTTCTACAGAAAATATTTTTAACTTGTAAAACACGAAAATATACTTTCTCTGAATGATGAAAACTTTTTAGATAAATTTGAAATTATGACCCTCAAATATGGGGGTAAACTAGAAAATATAATACCAATAGTTTAATTAGGTTGAAATTGTGAGGTCGGAATAGATCAAAGATCGAACATTTAACCCTCTTGCTGTCTTATAGGTCTCGCCTGAAAGTTTCTTCCCTACCTGAATGATTGATGGAGTGGGCGGAGGAACTCTATTGAAAAACCGCACCTGTTCCCGTCGATCATTACTCGCCAAATCTTCATGATGCCAACGACGATAAAGGGTCTCAAATGGAAAACTGATTTACCTCGGTTTTGAGAGACATAGTTGATTAATTCTTCCTTTAGTGGGAGAGTGAAACTTGCGGAATTTTTCGGATGCACAAGAGATTTGAGTTAAAACATTACGCGAAATTTCCGAGTGTTTTTGTCATGGGTACCGTTCAAATGACGAGGGGGGGGGACTCCGATGCTAACTTTTTGAAGATTATCTATACATATCGTGTGTCTTCGTGCATTTTTTATACTTAAATTTGAAGGGCATACTGCATTGCATTATCCGATTGAAAATGCTGGGAATAATCAAACTGTAGCATTTGTTTTTTTTTTTTTTTTTGAAACCTCAAAATGATAGTAAAAAATAATCAGTATACCACAATGATAGTTATTTATGGAATTCAAGTGAAGATGCTACCGTTCATAAAAAGGTGCTTTATGAATAGTAACATGATATTACCATAAAAGATGCTT